GTGAACTTAAAGGTCTTTTCCAACCTAAACGATTCTATGATTCTATGCTGCACTTGTGAATTTACAGTTTGATTCCCAAAACATTTCGTGTGTTTGCAAAAATGTACTCTGCTATACCTGCAATTTGAAGAACCTATTTTTTATGTGACTGAGTCACTAGCTCTCATTTTTTATTAATTGTATAAATAACCAGATAAGACAAGAAGCAAAATTTCAAAAACCAAAATGCCTGGGGAAAGATTCAGCAGTGAAAGGGCTGTGGATCTCTTTCAGTGCTGGCTTCCCCCACTGCAGTTCTCGCTGGGATACCTACGCTAATTTTGAAAAGTGCTCCTCTGTTTCGTTGCCTTCTATGCTGCTTCTCAGGGTACCGATTAAGAACTGTTGTGCCTGTCAGTGAGCCACATCGCCTGGTAGGAAACTGGGCTGGGTATGCTCTGTGCCTCTCTGATGCTCCGGGATTGCCTTTCTTCACGGATGCGGCCCTGAGCAGCCAAGCCGAGCTCCAGACTGTGGTTTACCCTGTGATCACAGGCATTTGAGCCTGGAGAATTTGATTTGGGTCAACCCTCAGGCTTCTTTTTTTTTTTTTTCCTAAGTGATTCAGGCAACTTAAAGCTGACCCGCTGTTGGTGGGAAAGAGGGAGGCTGTCCCTGGTGATGCTGTAGCAAGGGGACACAAGGCGGTGGCCGGGCTATGCACAGGCTGCTGCCGCAGCCCCGGGCTGGGGTGGGGCTCAATCCTGCTGCCTGCCACTGGAGCGTGTGCCACCATCTGAAGTACTTGCTCACACCCTGCGCTGCAAATAGTGGAGTTTTTTTTATAAACAGCTCTAGTAATTCTGTTCTGCAGCTTTTTACTTCAGTATTTTCAGTTTAGCACTGACAGTTTTGACAATTTTTCAAAGCCAGAGAGGAACCCTTTCCCTCCTTCCTTCCCTGCCTCAAGGAAGTAACATCCCATTTTTTTCCCTCGTTGTGGGCAAATTACAGGCTATTGTTGCTGTCTTTCATATAGATTCATTTTCATGACTCATACATAACAAACATCTGCAAATGACTGCCCAAAGCTAGGACAGGATCAGGTGTTGATCCAGAACAGCTTCGATAAGGCAGCAGCCGGGTCCTCCTCCCCATCCACACCTTTCTGTTCCTCCCTAGCACCAGGATAGTGACCATCTCGCACACCCCTTGAAGATGAGAATCTCTACATTTGTAATTCCCAAGCTGACTAGAAGAAGTAAGCAGGAAAGCAGCTTTCCACTATCGTGGCCTGAAAGTTAGTGCTGGAGCTTGTTTGCCGCTGAGCTGCTGTTCATATGCTAAAAACTCTGTTCAGGTTCCTACAGTGTAAAGTACCTCACTGGTAAAATACATTTTTTCCCCAATGTTTTACGAAGTGGGTAGAAAGCACAGTGGAAGAGGTGTATGGCATCTTCCTTTGAGCTCCTATTATAGGTATGGGCTAATGGATAAAATCCACCTTGCTCTAACATCTTTAGTTTCCCTGGCCTTTGCTCAGGACAGCAGTAATCCATGCTACCTGAGCAACCACAGAGAGGTTAACTCTGGCTGCTGTGGTTCTACCTCTTTGGAATAAATTTAAATCGTATTTGATGCTTCAGTCCTGTTTTCACACATTTCTTGATTGCAAGTCGGTGCGGAGAGGGAATGTATGTTTCTCACTACAGCTAAATATGACTGGAGATGGGGGTACCACACATCTTGCAGTCTTGTTTTGGATGGCTACAATGCATGCGGTTGATTAGCTGCATCAGCTGATATACAAGTAAGACAGAGGTAACTTAGCTATGCATGCAGATTATACCCCGCTTATTCCTCTCTCCAGTTTGATTTGCAAGACACCTGCAGGAAAGGTTTCAGAAAAGGATTGTCTGTCTACCGCTTCTTAAACCACTGTAGTGCAGAAAACCTGGCAGCTTACCCGGGCGGGGTGGTTTTTCCCAGCTTATCCTTGTGTTGAAAGCCTTAGCACGAAGACAAATCCGAAGAGGGTTTTTGCTGGCTTCATGAGTTTTTCCACCGGGTCAGTGAGCTCATCCAGGTTGCACATGGCTGCACAAGTGCTCTTGCTGACATGAAGGATGGGGTAGGTGGAGGAACAATCATCCTTTCCAGTACACTGGCTGAAGTCCGTTGCAGAGTCTCAGGCATGTCTGCACGTACCTTTTGGGGAACATTTAATGGGTCCAGTCCAAAAACTGAGGCACCAGGAAAATGTAAATGGCCAGCTGGTTAGGGAATGCCATTACCACCTGAACTGCAGTTAGGTACTAGAATGGCAGATAGATGCTTAAGTCCTTTTGAGGATCAGGGTCTCTGGGCATAATGTAATTATCTGAATGTCTGAAGTACAGCTTCTTTGCTCCTTTTAATAAAAGAGGAAATTTAAATGCAAAACTTCTGTTAAGGCACATTAAGCTTTAAGACTTGAATACAACAATCAGCTCATTCAGGCTATACTTTCCACAGCTTTTCTTACTTAGCCAGATGACACATGCATGCTGTGTTTTAGAACTGAGCTCTGCCCTCATTTACACCAGGAACCCTCATTAAATTCAGCTGAATCCATTGAATTTAACAGGATTGCCTGGTGTAATTAATGTTTTGAGGACAAATTTTGTCCTTAGCCTTAATGCTTTAACACCATATATAGCATTCAGATGTGTAACTGGCTGAACATAGGAAATTCCAACACTTAACTTGTATATATGTTAAATCCCAACCATAAAGTGTCATCGACACTCGTTTTTGCATTTTATAAACAGTTAACAATTTGCATACATCCAGCAGTGATAATCTGCTTTTGCATTTAAATTTTAATTCTTCTGCAAGTCTACCAGGATGTCACTTGTTTAATGGCTCACTGAGCTTAGAGGTCACCCAGTCCAAGTCTCCTCTGCTGGTGTTTTTATCCGAGTAAAAGCTTCTACTAATAAGAACACAGCAAACATACTGAAGTGAGACCTGTGTAGTAATACATATGAATTAGAATTTAGAGAAGCTTGGAGAACAGGGGATTATGTTTTCAGAGTGTTTCTTTTTTAATGGTTATTTGACTCTGACTGGGATCATAAATTTTTATTCTCTGCCGATCAGAACACAGGCTGTCATTTACACGTGCAGTGAGTATAAGGCACTACTGAGTCAAAAAAACGAAGCATTTTACTGCAAAGATTTTAAAGAGGCAAGTGGCTTCAGCATGCTAGATGATGGTGGTGGCTCATGCTACTTTCACTTAGGATTGGAAAAGACAAACCAAGCTTCCTGAAAGCGTAGACTATAGTGTAATAATATAATGTGACACCTGACCTTCAGCAAAATGCATGGGATTACCTGTCATAGGATATTAATTTACATATCACTGTAAAATTTTTTAACTGGAATAACAGAATCACAGAATGGTTTGGCTCAGAAGGGCCCTTTAAAGATCACCTAGTCCAACCCCCTCGCCATGGGCAGGGACATCTTCCACTACATCAGGATGCTCAGAGCCCTGTCCAACCTGAACTTGAACACTTCCAGAGATGGGGCATCCACAGCTTCTCTGGGCAACCTGTTCCAGTGTCTCATCACCTTCATCGTAAATAATTTCTTCCTTATGTCCATCTAAATCTACCCTCTTTCAGTTTAAAACTGTTGCCCCTTGTCCTGTCACTACATGTCCTGGTAAATTGTTCAGTGCTCTCAACGTCTTTGAGAACAATGGTGGTTACATACCAGGATTTCTTTCTATCTCCTAAGAAACCCCATGCCCAAAAAAAGTGACCTATGCTGGAGAAAACGTACCAAAATCACCGTATGCTGATACTGTCACATCATTGATAACTGCCTTGTGTCCTGCTCTGCATCGTGCCATTTGCTTCCACTCTGTGTGGCCTAGCCCTTAGATACCTCTGCCTCAGTCTCTCCACCCTTTTCCCTGGAAAATACTTTCTGCACGGTGTTTTCACTTGGTAACAGGAGAGGAACTGAGCTGAAACGCGTCGTTTCTGCTCTGTCTAACTGGCAGTGCTCCTTTCTCTACCCAGCAGAATGTCAGAGCAGAGCACCTCTGCCTGCCTAACCGAGAGGAATCCACAGGCTCTAGAGCAGGCATGAGGAGGATAGCTGTAGTATGGTAAGACCTGAAATAAATACACATGCACAAGTTAAGCGGTTCCTAGAACAACCCTGTGGCACCTGCTGGTGACATCCAAGTAGAGAAGTTGGCCAGAGAGTGGGAGAGAAGAAAAAAGCATTGAAGCAAGCATTAGTTTGGGACTAGAGAAATCCTCCACTCCCACCTACAGCTTTCCAGAATCCAGATGCTTTAAGCTGAAAGATTGAATGGTATCACAAACCGAAGAAAGTATAGGGAGAGCATTTAGTATTGTTCAGATGATGCAGTTCCTCATACTGTGGGGGACTGTATGACTCCCTCACATGCCGTCTGGACGTGGTCCTGGGCAACCTGCTTCAGGTGGCCCTGCTTGACTGGGGGGCTGGACCAGACGACCTTCAGCAGTCCCTTCCAACCTCAGTCATGCTGTGATTCTGTGCGGTCGTTACCAAGCGACCTCCTTTGAGAGCAGTGGACATACAAAGGTATAATACTCAGTAGTCTGATGGGGGCAAAATGAGACACACGCAGTAGAAGCAAGTGAAGAGACGTGCATTCAGAATTTCATTTCTATAATACACATACTGATATTCTGTCAGTAACTCTTAGCTGATGAAATTAGCTCATGCGATTTGCTCACTAATTACTGAAAAACTGTAACAATCACCAAGGCAATATAAGGTCAAATTCAGTTTTTCATATAAAAAGAATCTGAGTAATTGACTGTGTGTGTATATATATAGTACACTATAATGAAGAATAACTAAACAGTAATAGACTTGTAGGGATGAAGCTGGCTCTAGGTGAGCACAAAGTCTTCACAATTATAGGATTGTTAGAGACAACAGATTCTGTAGTAATGCCACTGAATATTCACAACCGAATAGATTTTATTTCACATTTACACATTAGCAAGAGTATATACAATTTAAAAAATCAGTCTTGCTGGAAAAGATTAGTTGGAAATGATCTATCCTAACTTGAGACACTGAGTATTAAAGCTATCGCCCTCTTTGACAGCTACAGCCTCTAAAAGCGCCTGCTTCTTCTGCATACTGCGAGATGACTCCAGTTCATACATAGTTGTCAAGTTGAAGAGAACACTCTCGTGTAGGTAATGTTTAGGGTCCTGCTGAACTGCCGGAGGGAATCCTTCAGTTTTCCCAGATAAAGAAGACAAACAGCAGCATTGTTATTAGCCTAGAGAAAAATAATATTGTCAATAAATAAGAGTGTGTGTGTGTGTGTATATATATGTATGTATGTATTTACAAGTGATGAGAGAAGGAAAAAAAGAAGTCTAGCATCTGGGGTTACAACAAATTTACTATGTGCTAAGAATTACTTGTGTGTGTGCATGTGTGTGCACGTGTGCAAGTAACTAGAATACATTCCTTTTCTTCTTGTTATTCTCAAGATTTATTCTGTGCCAATAGGACCTGCTGACTTCTAAGAGCTGAAACTCTAAAAGAGTCTAAAACAAAATATAAATAGTATAGGATATTAGTCAGTTAATTTTCAAAGTCAGCTGAAACAGATTTCAGAAACTAGGTGAGCCTCTGCATGCTGTCATTTTCACAGTTTTTTTTTTTTTTCTTAATGACTTCACTGTATCTTCAGAAGTGTTTTTCTCTCTGGCTTACATATAGAAGATCCGTATAAGCAACAGGAAGAAATTATCACAAAAGCATCTACAACTGGCTTCAAGTACATTCAGCACATAGGGCAGTCTAAATATATCATAAATGATCAAGTCAGGTTCCATTTGCTTTTCCACACAAAACAGGTTTTATGAGTTACCGAAAGATTCCAACAGTACAAAGTCATGTAACATGTTCAGCAGCAGAAATTTTCACCCTTTCTGAAAACTGCAGATAAAGGAAGAACACAGACTTTTTAAAAAAATTCTTTCTCTCTCCCTTCAGGAAACCTTGCTGATCTCGTGCAATATATAATACCTACTATTTTACTGCCTGCAAAAGGATGCAATTCATGTGCTGCTTAAAGTCAGTCCCCTCAGTATTTAAATGGCCTTGGTCAGGCTGCTGGGGGTAAGCTGTCTCACTTCTTAGGAACACTCTCATATGACCATGCACTGAAAGCTGCCAAATACACAAAACCAAAAGTAAATAAATGGCTCTTCCTTGATCTTCTCTTGTGATAGGAATCCAAGGCTCTGATATGCAACGTGTTAAAAATGTCATGTTTAAAATTACAATATCCCTTCAATGTTGTGTGAAATCAAGTTAGTCTTATATACGTTGGCAGCTGCCATTTCTTTTTCTGACATGCATGTCTACACTAAAAACAGTGAATGCAAAAAAAAAAAGTGTTTTTGCAAAGATCCCATAAAACATAATGTTTTGCAATGTCTAAATGCATGCCTAAGTATTCACGCCCTTCATATAGACTGGTTCATTTCCCATCCCATTTGGTATCTGATCCTTACGTACACTAAAAACCCTTTGGCACACATGCCACATCCAATTTTTCTATAAAGCTCTGAGCATACTCTGCATACTAATTAAATCCACGCATGAGGCATTATGAGAATAATTTAGGTGTTCATTATAAATGTAGCAATTTGGAGATTTACCACAGCATTTGATGAGTCGATCCTTAAAATTTCTGTGAAAAATCGATGAGCTTCTGCAAAATTATTCTGACCAAGGTGGAGAAATGCTCTAGAAAGTAAGTGACATATGAATGAGTTCTCCGCAAAAACCCAAGGTGATAATATATTTTAAAAAGAATGGACACCATTTTTTATTTTTCCTATTATAGATGTGAGAGTTTCTGACGTTTGCTCTTCACGGTATAATTACAACCAGCAAGGAGACACTGATTTACAGACAAATGGAATGACAACTTGGATCACTTGGCTATTATATATTCTGCCTACCAAAGCAACAGTCTTCATTGTGTTTTTATTAATTTAAATGCAGATACTCTCTTCCTAGAATTATTTCCCTTCATGAAATTAGCCATGCTATATAATTTTCAGAGCACTTCTGAATAGTATTTTCTAAATATATTAAGCCAATGTGCTAACCATTACAAACTGAGCCCTCCATCATGCAGCTCGATTTACTACAATGTATTCGAGCATTCTTTAAAACTACCAGGCGGTAACTTTACTAGTAGATCTGACTGTAGGATGAAGGCCCAAAATAGCTTCTCCTCTCCTAAGAGTTATTTATGCAAATGTATACTGAAAAAGCAGAGTGAAAATATGCAATGCTGGAAGAATGAGAAAAAGCTTTGTAAAATCAACTGAAGGATCACAATTTCCATCCAGGATAATATGACTGTACCAAGTAATACAGATCTCCTGGGTCTATATGCCATTCAGTCTCACTTATGACAGATGTAGTTACATAAAAGAGAGAATGGGATTTTCTCAAGGGTAGTTTAATGCTCACAATGCACACTTCGCAAAACTATATTTTAAAGTTTCATTTAGCTATTAAATTATCTACCTGTTCATTAAAACCATAATTTGGCTCTGTAGTCCATCCAATTTGTGAGTCACTTTCTCAACGTCTTGAAAATACTTTTCTGCAGTTCTTATGTCTCCAATCTAGACAGTAAAATCATAAGAAAGTTACCACCATAAGAAGAAAAGAGTTCCAGCCTGATCGTATCTTTTACAAAGGAAAAGAACATGAAAACATCAAAGTCCATTATCAAATTGTTTGGTACCAAGCTGACTGCGTAACGTCTGTTACCAAACAAGGTATTTGAAGAGCCGTATTAAGATCACGAAAAGAACCCCAAAAGCATGCAGAGTTTTATCTAAGGCAGCGTTTCTCAGCTGTGGGTTGTGGAGCATTCATGGACAGTATGGCAGGGGTGGCCCGCCTCCTCATTTGGCTCTGCTGTAACTTACTCCAGAGTCTGTAAAATCAGCTGAAAATGAGAAAAGGTCAGAATTACTTCCAATGAGACTGGGTGTTACTCTACAGGAAGTGAAGATAGACACTGTCCACAGGCAGAAACTGTCGATCGGCACGAGAACTGGAATACAATAGCCTGGTACCTAGCATAGGATCTATATGTGGTCAACCCACAGCTTATGGGTCATAGCCAGGGACCACAGGATGACCTCAGTGCATCGAAGTGAAATATGTCAGAAAACAACCCCAATGCAATGGGTCACTGAGGCTATCAGGGAGACAGTCCATTTGCAGATTGAAAACCAGTGGTGAGTGGATTGTGCAGGCCAAAGGAATGAGGGATTTGAAAGCTGGCATAAAGAGGAACAGATTTTATGGGAGGGGAGGACAGGGAAGGGGATTCCTAGAAAGGAAGGGGTATTTCACCTAAGGGTATGTCCCATATATTCCTATCTGAGATTAAAAAAAAAAATTCTTTGAAGAAGGCCCCTTTGGTAAATAAGTTAGCAATGCATGTTTCATAGAAGCATACACCCATACTTTTGGTAAGGTTTCACTATATAGTGTCTAATTTTGGCCTGGAGGGATGGACGGAGAAGAAAACTTACTATTGGGTAAAATAAATCTATCAAAGGGAGGAAAACCAAACCAGTTCAGGAGCCTAAGGCCATGGAAATCGGGCAGCCCTCAGGTGGGGAGCTGCAGGGGGCCCTCAAGAGATCACCTTTTTGTTCAAGAACAGGACCAACATTACCAAAAATGTTTGTGAAAAATGTGTTGAAGAAATTATTACTCTTTACATTTAGGGGATGATCCAATTGCACTCAAAGATACAGCTGTCCACCTACCAAAGCATTTATGGATCACCCATTAATACTCTAGCTAATTAAACAGATGCACTTCTCCCAGATGTTACATAATTGGACTCAAACAAAACAAACATTATTACTCTAAAAACTTATACATTCAGTTATAATGACAAAAATAGCAATTTCTTTCCATAAATAAAGGTGTAAACAACCAAGAAAATAGTTACTTTTAACTAAAGGATAATGCTGGCACAAGTGTAAATGAATCCGTCCTTGAATATTTTTAGCCTGGAAATTAGAAGGAAGCCCCTAACCATGAGAATAATCCATTTCTAAAGCAAACTACCAGTTTGCTCCACTGGGAGCTTGATGAGTCCAAATCTAATATGCTTTGAGATTAATCACACCTTATTTGCGATCATGAAGAATTCTAATTTCTTAGCAGCATCTTGTACCTTCTCAGCCAACATGCCAAACTTTTAATTCTCATTTCTCCCACTGAGGGGAAACAGTTTACTTCCCGCTCCCCCCCCCCCCCCCCCCAAAAAAGAACATGTAAAAGAAAGAATTAGTTTTCATTAGTCATTAAAATGCTAAACATTTAAAGTCATCTTCTTCACTTAATTTTATTTAACTTTGTTCAGAAAACATAACTTCAGTATCTAATAATAATTAGCACTTTGAATAACAAGAAAATTCCTCTGTTAACGAAATAATCATATCCTCTAACAAGGAGCCTCCAATATACTATGCACTTAAGTTTGCTGTTTGTCTGGAAACCGAGATTATTTTTCTTAAGTACTTCTAGGATTTAGTTACTGCTTTTAACTCTGTTTTGCAGCAATCTATTGCAGAGGGTAAGGTCAGGCAGCTTTTCACTTTCTAAATTCTTTAATGTAGTTATTTAAATGGCAATTTTGGATAGGTCAGCCAGCAAGCACAGTCTATTAGCAACACACAATAATATCCTAGAGACTAAAACATAGTGACTGTTCCCCCATTTCATGTGAATTTCTATTTTACAGGTCACGTGACTGCTCATAGAATTACAGTGCCTCTGAAAATTTCTCTGCGATAGCCTCTGTCTTTTCCTGCGTTCTCCACTTCTCTCATCCTCATTTCCCACTTATGTTAAGGCAACAGCTAAAGGCCCTACATGAGATCTAGGCCTCTTTATGCCCCACTACATGTGAAGATAAAGAAGACATGGTGTCTTAAACTAGTAAGCTCAATTTAATTAAGAAAAAAAAAATCACACACAAAGCAAGGTTTTATATGTTGCAAAAGGTTACCTTTTTTTTCTATTGAACTCCTGAGCTTAGACTTCATTCTACATTATTGCTTTGTTTTGTATGTGTGATGTCTATTGTCAAACAGTATCTGTGACTGATATGCAGCTAAAATCTGGCTCCCTTGTGCCTCTCTTGGATAATGTTCAAAGTTAAGAGAACAGCCTGAGGTTATTTGGGAATCATTACCTGTTTTTGAGAAGCTGTGACATTTGAATACAAGAAAATTGCATTCCTATTTTACCTTCAAGAGGTTTATTTTTTTCACAGAGTGCCTTGTCAATAGTGCACACATACCGCACAGTGGTCTTACCAAAATGACGGTGCCCAGACCTGCAACACATTTCCCTTTCTTCTATTTGAAGTTCTTGGTTTAGTTTACCTGCACACTGATTATTTCTCTTAATACATCAAAATCTTGCATCTATTGCAACAATACCCTCCAGACAGAGCTGAAGATTTTGTCACAAAAAAAAGACAACACACCAAACAATAAAAATTTATCCCCTTAAGGTGCTAGAAGACAGGAAAACACTTTAATTTAGAAGTGGTACTTTTTATTAATTACTATCTAGGATCATATAAAAATATCAAGGGCTCCTCATACTCCCTTTTGCTATATCCAGTTCTGACAGTAAACCCACTAAATACTAAAGGCGTGTTGTCACAGCCAACATTGCGGAGGTCAGTGACTTCAAATGACTCTGTACAGAGCCTCAAACACCACTTCTGAATTTGGGCCAACGTAATTCTTTCCAAAGTTAGGAGATGCTTTCCTCCTGAGACTGAAAATTTTTCTATAGCAAACCGAGCTACTAACAGACTGGAGAGCATGGCACTAGGGCAGATGCTCTTGGCAGCAAGGCAGTACCAGTAACGTACCCAGTCGTTTTCCCAGTAAGACCAGAACTATTAATAACTTGTATTTCCAATAGTACTACGCACATTTACAGCACCATTCTTTAATATGCATTAATTACTAGGTTGCCTATTTAGTTAATAATTAATGCACACAGCCAGTATCATAAAATTGCTCTATCGTGATGGAGATCCACTTTAAATCAGAGACTTTTAAAGACAAACATGTCTACCACACAGTGAAAACATGTTTCTGCTGAGAACCGAAAATCTGTAACATTCTATGATTTCAAGCAAACAATATTAACGATTTAATTATCTATCAAGAGTAAATTACTCGATTTGAATATAATTTTAACATGAATACTACAAATAAGATGGTTTGTAAGTAACAACTCAAAATTAGTTTTATAATAAATAATAAAAAGAAGTCAATAAAGAAGGAAAAGTTTGAAATATCAGTATCAGAAATATGAAAAAGAACTGCAAAGAATTTCTGAGATACTAAAATTTAAAACAATCAGATACTAATTATTAAAATGCATCATTTTCTGATAAACAATAAAGTACTACTGTACTTACATCTTTTTTTACTTATTATGGTAAATACATAGCTACATAGAAATTTATTATACTTCTGGAATCCTAGATTTTCTTTTAATGTGCCCTCCCCTGTCTTCTCAGGGACATAACCTGGACAAAAGGAGGAAACTCACATTTTTTCTAGATGAAGATGGCAATTATACAGTGTGACTGAGAGCTGCATGCAGTTTGAGGCAGTGAGAAATAACATTTTTAGTAAAATTCTGGCTCACTGAAATCAATGGGAGCTTTACCATTAGTTTTAGGGAATGCAAAATGTTGCTCTTCGATTAAATTATTAGCATAATTTTCTACAGCATATTCTTCGTTTGCTAATGTACATGCATGCATGTACTTTTAATGTTACAGGTGCTTTGTATTTCCTAACTTTATCTAACATCATGTGGTGGAAGTTTTTTTTTGTTTGTTTTGACCACTGCCTCTACAATTTGATACATGCCCTATAAAAATAACTATAGTTTTAAATGCAACAATTATTCACTACATAGCTGTCAACAGCAACGTTACCTAGCAGATTTAGAGTAAAATGCATACCTGAAGGAAAATCCTTCCAATTCCGCTCAGCAGCTGAGGCTCTTGCTGTGGGTAATATTTGATGACGGTGTGATAAGCATCTACAGCAAGGACATAGTCCTAAGGGGTGAAAAGCACAGGACCAGATATTTAAGCTCAGCATTCTTCAGCCTTTACGTCGCCTTCTTTTTAAAGACATATTCAAACAGAACTAAAGTAACTGCAACTTGTCAGTGGGACAGAATTTGTACCTATCACTGCAGACACTAGTAGCTGACTATATTGGTCTTTTCTCAGTTACACAGGAACTGCATATGCAGGGATCTTCCTTTTTTTTTTTTTTTCCAACTGGATCATTTTCTGTTCATAGCTAAATGCCAAGAACAAAAAATCTGAACATTTACTCTTCAGCTTAGATTATGATTTAGGATGAAAGTCAAAAGCCTTCTGTGTGACTGGGGTATACGTACTTGAGAAGCGTCTCATGTTTCAAATATATGTATAATTTACATTGTTTAACAAACTGTGTTCCGAAGCTTTGGGAACTGCTTGCGCACATGCTCTTAACTTGTGAAAAATATAATGTGTCAGAAACTGCAATTCATGCACATTTTCAGATGACAAACCAGCACTGCTGCAAAGGGAAACAGGACCTTTTCTATCCCTCCACCCAAATCCAAACCCTTGTTCCCTTCTACCATACTGTGGTAAGGAAAACGAGCAGGTAATCTAAATATAAAAATGATTTGGGCTAAAACTAAGCGAGGGGTGGGCTGGGTCTGAACTCCAGGAACCTTTGCAAGTGGCCCCACACATACACGCCTGCACAAAGACTGTGCTGGCAAGTGGCAGCTCCGAGACCTGCCTGCTCAAGATGTGGTGCAACCGTACCCTCTAGACAATGACCAGTGAGAGAGGATTAAACAAAATCATGGTCCAATTTCCCACAGGAAAGAAATGCCCATGTGACTGGTTACTGCAGTCCAGCCGTTTCATGGCTCAACTGCAAGTAATTCCATGATCTCAGCAGTAAATCGCTTTTAGAGCCAGCCTACATGGTCTTTGGCAGGCATACATGAGAAACTCTGCATGCGCTCTACGCCGACTGGAAGACACGTAGTAGGTACATTCATGGGACAGAGGGCTGCACTAGCCTCAGCTATAGCTTCTTGGAGCAACCCAGAGCAGAGGCAGAGAAAGCCTGCATTTGCTTATAAAAGCCAGGCATATACAAAGACAGAAGACTCTCTGTGCTGTACTAATTTGGTGGTTCCTGACAGTTCTGCCCTTCTACTTCATAGAAGAATTTGTGGTGGGTGTTAGGAAGCAGAAGACATCAAAGAATAATCTTTCAAAACTGCCCAGACATCTGGGGATACTCTCCACCCTACCATTTTTCTTGGTCAAACTACAGTACTCATTTAACTTGTCCCTAATGTGATTACAGCTACTGGTAAAGGTACTTTTTCTTCATCTTATGCTTAGTCTGAGGAGGCAATGTGCCCCAGGTGTAATGAATTCTTTTCCTGAGGTCACACTTAAAACAACTGAACCCTACCTGACCCGTGCACCAGGTCACCATTTGGAACACACGAATTGTTTCATACACACAAAAAAACCCAAGAGAAGTCTTTGGAGTCTGATCTGTATATGAGAGAAATTACATGTCCTATAATAGTAGAGGCTGACTTTGAAGAGCCCAAGAGGCACTCTGCAGGACCTTTCTTTTGCAAACAACTTGTATATTGTGGGTATAATGATTAATTCTGAGCAGTTAATTATTAACATTTAGAGTTTATTCCAATTCTAGTGTGCCATGACATGTTCATGCTTATTATTGGTAATGGGAAGAGTTCAGAGCAAAGACAACAAGCCACATACACAAAAATATATTTATTTGAATTCTGATTTATTTAGCACTCAGAACTCAAATGTGATGAAATTTATGCTACCAAAATTTTTCATAAATTTATGACTTAGGAAAAACTCAATTTTCACTGTAACAGCTCTTGCTAAAGGAATTCATTGATCACGGAGTCCCACTGTGTTGGTAGGCATAAAAAACTTGGAATAGGGAGCCCCTGAACTGGCTCCTTAGAGGAACCCCAGCCACGCTTGTATTAGCTATTAATACCTGCAAGAGTATCATTTATAAATATCTGAAGGATTTTCTATGACTGTGAATTTTATACCTTTAAGCATAAAATGTGCTTACTGGAGAAACAATTTTATTACATCAAATTCTAGCTTTTGTGCTCAATGCCTTCCCTTCTGTGGTCTAAAGCTGCCCCTTACCCAGCGCTCAGTCTTGTGCACGCTCTAAGGCTTAGGCTACACAACACCGATGCACAGCACAACCATGAGGGATGGGGGCTTGCAGTCATATCCCCAAACTGATGTAGAAACAACTCCCAGGAGATCATGCAGTTAAGCTGATAGAAGAGTGCTTCTGTCAGCTTAGTTTACAGCTTAGCATAATCTGACTGCAGAAAAGCCTTGGCCAGAAGAAGCTGCATGAGGAGGCACTGTTTGCGCAGTTCTAACACCACAGGCTCCCTAGTGCAGGTAGTAGCCAGCCTTGGTAGGAGGCTGCCAAGTAATGTCTTGGAGGTCCACACTGCCAGGGCTTTATGGACTTGGCCTAGTCAGGCAAACAAACCCCACTCCCCCTTTGCATTCCCTGTCAAGTGACTGTACATCACCACATGCGTTATAACTAGGAGTACATAAACATTCACACCTCCTAAAATGTGAGAGTAGAGGTGAAGCATTAAGAGTCTATGCACTGTATTCGTGGATATGGCACCCTGTTTCCATACGACGGCACAGCACACAGCATCTGTGCTTATCTACCCCATGCCTTGCAGTACGTATCACAGGAATGGACCCATTTCTTCCAGGAGATGACAAGAGATTAAGTTATATATGTCCAAAGCCACCCCTAAGCATAGGCAAGCATGGTCCCAGGATGTAACTGCAAAACATCATCACAATATCTAGGCTCACTCCTAAATATGACCTCTTTTTGTAGTTACTCCAGGATCCCATGGTTTATATGCATTTACTTTTCCCCACACACAATAATGGAAGTAGTAGTAGATTTCTAGAGTATCCTACATGTGATACAGAATGACACTGTTCCATGGTAAGTTATAAAAGCATCTTATCTGACAGTTCCTTCTGAAGGAGCATATTGCAAAGTAGATCAGATTTGGTCTCATTTACTAAAGACTTTGTTTTCATTCCCAGCTTTGCTAGTGTGTGACATGGTACAAGAAAAACTGAGAGAATGATAAACAGACACCTTGCCAGGGGAGCGAAGTGTTGGTTGATACAAGTTGTGAGGAGTAAGACTTATTAGGTACTGCCAGTAAAAAACCCCAATGACTACAGCTTGTGATCTTAAGACTTAAAGGCAGGGCTGATATATTGTCATGGTCCTTCAGATTTTCCACACCTTCATTAAAAAAATCCCCAAAGAAGCACTGAAGTTACACAGTTCAGGATATGAATGAGAGTTGGACTACTGTTTTATAATTCAAAATCTCTTTTATTATGAAAATTTGGAGCTAACATTAAATACACTCATCCAAAATAGTTCTAGTAAGCCATTGGATTTACTTGCACAAAAATGGCAAATGGGGTTTGTTTTTCCTTTGATGCACTGCAGTATAACTGTATTTCCATTCATGGTCACTGCATTATACGTTTTCATGTTTCCCTCACCACCACCTTAAGTACTTAAAATATTAATTAGGAGATATTTAGAAATAAGCATAAATGACCATGATGTGTAGAATGCTGAGAGTAGGTTTGATAAACCATAGACTAAAAATTAGCCTTACTTATACGAAGTGTAGAGTTCATAAATACTGTATTTTGGGAAGAGAGGACAGGGAGAACTTATCCTTCCTCTCTATCTAGTGCACTTGTAGAAGGGTTATGAAAGCAGAGATTCACAGTGTAATGAATCCAAAGAGCAGTCCTGCAGCACAGTTAGGCAAAAGAGACGATGATTCATGCAGTCTTTCTCCAAGAACCAAAGTCCTTAGGCATCAGTCCCTTGCGTCCCAGTACAAGCTGTTACCTCCTTCTTTGTACAGTTTTAATTGATATTAGACCCAAATTAAAATAAATTCTAGTGCTTTTGTTTTTACAAAGGGCAAGTTCTACAAAAGCTAAGACAACACTGAAAAAAATCTAAAAGTGCAAAATGTGCCTTTAATTAGAGTGGATTTATAATATATATGGAAAGTACTTAAGTGTTTATTCCTCAGAGAGGTAAAAGTCTGGTAAGATAATGTCAAAAGCGATTTTAGCTCAGATGAAAAGAACTTAAAAAGTTTTCAAGACACTTCCACGGTGATTTAGTAAAATGACAGATGTTTTGCAATTAGATTCTTGAAATGAAGCAATGCACATCATCAGTTGCATTTTAAATGAATATTCCCTCATGCTGCTGTATTCAGGGTATGCTTTCATAGTGACTTAAGCCCACAGTTCTTGTAAATGGAAGACCACAGTGACACGTTACGTGGTCTCCCCTTCCCTTCCTGCTGTATTTCCACCTCCTCTCTTAAGTTGCCCCTTGTTCACATGAAACAGGAAAAGCTGATTCAGTTGACATGACTGAGATCCACCATTTCTTTGCTTTTGTCACTCAGTTAAGTCCAATAGTGGTGCACGGAAGGAAGCTAGAGTACATTTAAGAAAGGAGGTACAAAACAAAGGGGATGAACGGGAAAGGACCATATAGTAAGACTGCCTTAAACGGCTACTGAACGGGATTATTGGTCACACAGATAAAAGTACACAGCAGGCAGAATTTAGTACCTAGGAAAGATGGTCCCCCAGTAAAGGAGACGTGATTGATTTCCTGTTCCACTATAGGTTTCCCACAGAAGTCTGGGTGAATCACTTCTTTGCACCTTACTCACTTCCTCCAAAACAATATACCCCTCCATCTCAATAACTTAATGAGATGTTTAGCTATGAAACTAATGAGGCCATATTTAAAAAGACAAAAATCACTGTGCTACATAAACAGAATTCCTGCAGTCAGATAAGTAATGCAGAAGTGATATGACATGAAATAAACCTAATTAAGAGTTGAGGATAACTGAAGTAGATTTAAGTAGTTATAGGCCCAACATCTAATCAAAGTCTTTTTTTTATTTTTAAGAGTCAATCCTGACAAGATTATTCCCTATTAAATACTACTGAAGTTTTTTGGCCAAAGAAAGAGGTTAGTAAAAATAAGATAATCAGTTTTTCTTTCTTTACACCAATGTCACACAGTTTTACTTTAATAAATGATTATTATTAATCTATTAATAGCACAAGCTATTCCATTCACTTAATAGTACTTGGGGATCAAATATGACCATATTGCAATATTGTAAATGTTCACTAGATGGCAACAGATGGCACTGACTTGGAGAATGAAAACAGGTTTGTTTTTTTTTTATAAATTACAAACACTTGAAAGACTTGAATAAAAATAAATGCAGTTTTTAAAGTGTATTACACTACAGCAAAAAAAATTTATAAATATGTGGACCTGTTCAATTAATAGAATTGTTCATGGGAGAATTAACTAAAAGTGTGTTTAATAATGATTTGAAGAAATAGTTTCATACTGAACACTCTAGAAGGTGGAGAAGATAATTATAGCATTGCTGCAAGGCAGAATGGTCTTAAAAATTATTAAATTCACAAATAACCAATATAATTCTCTCACAGAGGACCTGTCGCATAAGCAGAAAAATTAATTTCATGTACTACTCTGTTTTTAACTGCAACATTACTAAGTTTCAAAAATCTTTCCACAAAACACTTTACTCCTCCACATAGGGATATTTCTGAAAATTCAGAGACTCACAACTAGTCCATAGCCAATGCACTGAAATGCAAATTTCAGATGGAAGCAATTATGCATTAACATGCAGTTGTGAGTAATCCAGAAGTTACTGTGGAACCATAAACTTGTACCTTAACAGCTCTGAGACAGGCCCTAAATACAACGGGTCTTAAGAAGTATCTGAGCTGCAGTATTTCTGAAGTACCATTTCCAAAAAGGTGATAATTGGTATTCACAAATATATTTCTATTACTAGAATAGCACTAAAGGACCAAATCAGGAGAAAGGTGAGAAGCGTGCATGCACATGGATTTGTGTGTACATGAGAAGAAAAACACTGAGGTGTTAAAAACAATTCACAACCAAAAGCAAAGTGAACTTCTTGAACAAAAAAAACATTACCAGCATTTCCTTATTTATATATTCTAGTTTGGGATGGCAACTCGTGCTTTTCTGCGCTTGCTTTTTGAAAAAGAAGGTTCCTTAAAAACTGAACCTATGTCAAGTACCTACTTCAAAACACAAATGCTTACTAATTCTTAAAAATACCTCATGGTTTAATGGACAATTATTTCTATTCAAGACAGAAATATTCTGATCACAGTATTGTTATGAATACAAATTTCTGTCTTCCCTAAGTCTCATAAAAAGGATGTTCCATTTCATGTAAAATAGTATTTGGATAACCGGATCTTAACTAAACAAATGCATGCTTTTTGAGGTGTTGTAATACTAAGAATGGAGCCCCATTTGGGAAGTAGCTTGGTAAACATCAGAGGGTCAGGTCTGGCATGACCTTGGGCAATCAAAGAGCAGGGAGCAAGGAGTGCAAATCTTGGCCTCTGAAGATTATACTGCTGACAGCTCTGCTCCTAGGCTGTTGCTGCTTATTGACTTGTGAAGCACAGCTAAGCTCAGAATAACAGCGGTTTGTTGCAAGCGCAGAATGGTGATATCCCTATTTCCCTGACTGTGAGGTGAACGTCAGAAGAAGTTTTATTTCTACTTCCTGAACGCAAGGAGAAGGTAGGAGCGTTGCACCAAATGCAGAAGGATTGCTTAAAAAAAGGGCGAAACAAGGGAAAAAAAAAAAAAAAAAAACGCAACAGTGGAAGCCAGTTACTTCAGCTTTTATTCATTTTTCTTCCCCCCCTACCCACTAGTGAGGATTTAACTTGAAAGAAGGTATCTTACAATTGAGGTAAGCTGACAAGGGAGGATGTATTTAGATGTTCCGGATCTTCATCATATACAAAGGCTACAGTATTATTAACGCACACAAATAGAGCAATATTCCTAGTGTGCAGTTTGAAAAAGACAGAGCACATAATTGCTTTTAATTACAGCATTTAGTTAAGTGTTTGAAAAATTCAATTTAAAAATGCAAATTCTATATTGTTATTGCAAATTCTCCAGGATGATTTGGGGAGAAATAAGTACAGATATGTTCCCAAAGAACATTACTGCAAATGGTTATCTATTAAATAAGACATTATTAAGTCTAATTAATTCTTCACTAAGCAAAACCTTCACATACAGTCAGGTAGTCTTCCCTTATCTATGCACCAGTAATTCTCTTGCACTTTCTCTGACACGCTATTCTGGAATATACGGTACCTCTGCAGTTGCTGCCACCCACGTACCTTCATCATTAGCAGACAGTTTGCCATGGAGTACATCACCCGGCCCAGACGTGACCTCCACAGCTGAACAGAGGCTGCAAAATAAGAGCAGCTTGTGAATTTGCACAAATAAATTAGAGGTTCTTTCTTGCCATCAATTATTGGTCCTCTGAATTACAATTTTGAAAGATCCCCCTCGTTAACACCACTGGGTTTTAGCCTAGAATTTTTAATTCTTAGCCATGGTGCACCATCAGACAGAAAATACTGCATCTCTCAGGGGATCGCTCAAGCGGCTCTGGGGACCATGCACGATGCAACAATGCAGAGCAAAAGACAGCCGCTCAGCTTTGAGCTCAGGCCGAATATTAAACACTAAAAGAAGCCTCACATTTTCTATTACCAGAACAAAAGGTTCATAAAAAGATTCAAGTGACAATGAGCATCAGTTTAAAAACATGTAATCTACAGCATTAAATGTGATAAACTCAAAAATCAAACATAGCTAAAATGTCATTTCAGAGCCAAAACATGCAGGGTGAGAACTGTCTGAGTCTGGGATTGTTTGTGCTTGCCTCTGGCTTAGAGATATGCTGGAAAAATCTGCCAAGCCTGTCTGCTTTCCCCATGCTCCTGGAGCTTGCAGGCATTAAAAGCTGCAGCAGCAGATTTCTCTCTCTTGCTTTGCAGACAGATTCCTGATCTTGTAAAAGAATGGTTCACATAGATCCTTATTTTCTCTTGTGTTACAGTACCATAGATCAATGCTAGAAATATTCCTCTAATCCTCAAAAGTAAACATTAGGAGTATTAATTTAATACATTTATTTTCCAAATGTATCTCAATCAATCAGCTGTCAAGGTCACTGTAATGATTTGAGAAGGGGGGGAGGAAAGGGAGAAGAGGCTATTTCAATGAGATTGTGATAACTGCAACCACTTATTTGTATCAATAATGTAGTCTCTGATGAAAGCACGGCAGGTCACGTAGGTAATTCTTTCAGCACACATACATGCCATTACAAATAAGAAGAGAGCTTGGTGAAATGTCTACCCCCCTTCCTAAAATGAAAAGCTCCTTCAATCCTCTCCAAGAACAAAAAAAAATACAACCCATGAATATTCCCAAATTACCTTTGTCAAAAGAGGGGCATAATGTGGGGCCCAAGACCGAACCCAGTATTTCATCCACCGTACCTTAAAATCATTCATTACTCCTAGCTTTTGTTTTAGAAATTCCCCCTTGACCACACATCCCTACTGCTATTAATGGACAGCATGATGTAAACCATGAGCAAATATTTTATGATACATTTCTGTTTTTCTTTCCTTGTGGGTGTCTGTAAAACCTAGACATAATTAAATAACTCTCCTTTCTTATTTCACTTATGTTAATCTCTCCTTTTCGCATGTCCTCATAGTTTGGTAACCACGTTCAGCTTTTTAGGACTTAGGTGACAACAAATTAGATGTTGACTCCTGCAGTGGAGACATCTAGGTTTCCTGTTAACAATCCAACAGCAACAGCTACAGTTCTCAAAAAGGACTGCAAAGCAGACAGACCAGATGTCTTCAGTCTGTGCTATAAATTGAACAGGAACCTGATCTGGAAATTGTGTAGCCCTATGGGATGAAGCTTCTTAGCACTGGCAGAAAGGGGTTAAAGAAAACCTGCAAAGCAGTAAACAAAATCAAAAACCCAACAGCCAATCATTTTATGTTATTGAAATGCCTGAAACCCACTCTACAGGTCCATGAAGCCATGCTTCCACTCTAAGCATCTGTTTTTCCTTGTTATTTATCAAGAATCCGTCCCCCGCACTGCCATTCACTTCAATAGGAGCTCTGTGCACTGCGAAGTTGCAAAATTGGCATCTTACAGAACGCTTTACCAGGCAAGTGGTGCAATGCTAAACCTCTCTGCTTGTTGAAAAACTGGCAAATAAGGTGCTCTCTACCAGACTAGAAGAGATGTATATGATAACTTGATCGGTGTGGCAGCTTCTTACACCAGCAATAAGGAAATTACATGCTAAGCATAATCCCCATAATGAATTAAGGCTGTTCTTTGCATAAAGTTAATAAGGTTTGCTTCAGCTAGTCTCACATGAAAAAACCCAAACCTATTATCAGCCTCCTGGAGCTCCAAATGCAGCAAAAAAGCAGACAGGGAGCAGACCTGGCTGACCTCCACAGACAATAGCAGTCAACAGTCTCTGCAAAGGTCCCATGGGCTTTTTGGCAGTCCTTAATCTACAGGCAGCTGCACAGTGGACATAGGAAGATCTCTCCAAATTTTCAGCAGTCTTGTCCCTTGGTAACTGCTAGCTGCTTTTTTTCTAACTATGCCTCCTCCTGAGCTCGTCTCAGCTCTAAAGCAGCAGCAGAGAAGAAAAGCAAGGAGCCAGAAACTCAGGAGTGAGACAGACTGCAGGACACAGGATTATGACACAGCTAGGAAAAAGTCCTTGTACCTTAAAGGGGAATCAGCGTCTTGGTTTTAAAGGGGTAAAAAGGAAAAGAATGTGGAGATAATAAGGACAAAAATGAGGGTAGAAAGGGGATAACAGGGAAAAGTAGGCAGGAGAGCAGAGGCAGGAAGAATAGTAGATACAAGGAGAGAAGAACAGAAACTGCCGGAGCGCTGTGGATAAATCTTCAACATCAGATTATTTCTTTTTCCTAACCCTTTTGAAAAGAGTAGTAAATGTATTCATTTGACTAAATTTGCAAATGCCTTTATGATATATGCTGCTCACATGTGCGTTCACTTTTCTAGGGCATATCTAGATGGTGTATTAAGTCAAGTACAATAACACATTAAAACTGCTTTACATCCAGTCAATTTGAAAACCAGACAGAGGAGTTCACACAGGTCTGCACCCCTCCATACAGACGTTGTTTTAGGGAAATAAATGTTTAACTTGCTAGGCACCATGAGTGGTTCATATAATCCAAAACAATGCCTAAAATGTCACCTCTTGTTCAATTCTGAAGTGTACTCAAATGACCTTGTTAGTATAAATGTTGTTTTTAAAAAAAAAGAGAGAGAGAGAGATGCTGGGACAACTGATTTGTCCTGATGGCCTTTCTTTATGCAGTAACATATCCTATACTATTGGAAGTTAAACAAATAAGATAGAAAGAACAGGAAAAAAAATTAATGGCATATAAAATCATGAAAATGATGATGCACATTAGTATCATCTAAATCTTATTCTAAAAAGTGACTTAGGTATTTCAGGAGTCTAAGTACCATGCAGGTACAGCGAGACTCAGCCATCTATGCAGCAGCATCCTAGGCCAGTGTAGCCCTTGTATGATGGCATTTCAATCTAAAGAAATCTAAAGTGGATTTCAGATATGAGGACTGAGAGGAGCCAGTCAGGCAAGGCTTAAAATGAAACATCCATCTAGCTGCAACAGCAATACACTTATATATTCATCACAAAAGGATAGCAGCCATGTTCTTTGTTTCTTCTAAGTAGGAAAAAAAAATGATTTAGTGCATCAGTTTGATCAAGGGCAAAACTGTGAAATTAATTCCAGCAAATAAAAGTACAAGATGTATCATTTCAGAGGCTGAGTAGGCTATGAGATTACAAAAATCCTGTTTTAACAACTCTGGGGCAGTCTTGTGAAAACTTCTGGCATACTTAGGCAAGCGATAAAAACATACTGCCTGTGAAAAAATGTTTAAAGAATACCTACCTTGTCTGTTCTCCTGTGTAATGTTAGTCATAGTTCCATCTTCAGCTAAGCCTTGTTCCAAATTTTCTAATATCTGTAGTAAATTTTTTAAAGTGACCAACATGAGTTTAAACAGCACTATATATTAAATGCAAATTATCTACAATTGACAGTCTATATGAAAACCAATTCAGGCAGGAGTGCTTCACCTAGGTACAGTTCAAAATTACTGATTATTACCGTAGCTAGATCAACTGCACAAAGTAAGAAAGCCATTGTACGGTACAAGGATGTTAGAGTTCAGGTTTATGATACTTACAGAACATTAAATGTCAGCACACTCTAGGGACATACACCTCTGGTTAAGCAAAACATGAAATATGCTTCACCAGAGAATGAATGTTAACGACCACGAAGAAAGTCAAACTGCTTTTTCACAGAAAGCCACTACCTTTTGACTCCCCCACCCTAAGTATGGGTGCTGGTTTCATCCTTTTGTCCTTAATGAAGTACTCCTCTTAGTTCTTACTCAAAGTTTGGGGTTTATTGCTTCTTTTTATTTATTACAGATTTTAAATCATGTAAATTGGTGAGTGAATGGAACATTCATTGTATTATTGGAAGAATGAAAATGTATACTTAATGAAGCTTTTGTCTTAAGCACTTTTAAAATATGTATGTAAGGTTCCATCTGAAATGGAAGTCAACTTCTCTTTTTCTAATCCCATTAGTTTCTCCAAATTTGTTTTCCGATTCCTACAGATCACCCTATTTTTCCTGTTACAGATTTATAACTTTGGTCGTAGAACACTGCTTGAGACTGCCTTCAAAAAACCATTAAGGCCACTTGCTCTTTCATCAGCCACTGTGGTTAGCCAATTCGGGAAATAAAGGTGCTTCCTCTTCCAGGGACTGAGTGCACTTCTGAACACAGAGCTCTCAGCTTCTGTCAGGATAAGAAGAATTTTTTTTTTTTTTCTACACCAGCAAAGCATTCCAGTTGTCCTCAGTGCTTTGTAAGCAACCCGTTAAAAACAACACAGGAAATCCTCCAAGGCAAAGACAGGTAGAATTAATCTGGTCTCAGACAGTGTGTTGGTGCCTTCTACAGCCAATGAAAAGCAATCGGTACCTCCAGGAAGCGAGTTCATGACACCTATTTTAGACATCCTAAGGTGGAAGGAACTGCCCTAAGAGATACCAATCTCTTTTTGCAGACTAGAGTGAAAGCTTGAAGTTAGGTGCCATAAATTTTTCTACAAGGAACTTAAGAGCAAGGAGAGACATATGATGAAATGACTGCAGTTACATGCCAGCTGAGCCAGGGTAATTTTCCCGATAAGAATTGTTAGCCCCTGACAAATACAAGGTAATATGATTTAGTGTAAACCTTGTTCACAGAGGGCTAGGCTAAGTTGCCTTACCTCAAATTCTGAGAGGTTATGAGCATACACCAGTAGATACTGCAGCTCAGTTGATAGGTGGCAATTTACAAGATCGCAGTGGAATGCCTGCGAGACTCAACTGCAGTCCCACTTTCAAAAGCAGCGCAGCCACTTAGCAATCCCTTAGAAACCAAAGCATGACATGTAACTGTTAAATGCCCAGTGTATAATGAGGCACCTTGTCAGAGGAAAAAACAAACGCTCCTCTCCCAGAAACACCTTACCATCTATTTTCTGTCCAGGCTAAAAACCGTGATCTTTCTCTTCCCCTGGAAAACATCTAGTGATCACTTCTCAATAAGGCTGAGCTCTTCCTCTTGAAATCACAGAATCATAGAATCATTTACATTGGAAAAGACCTT